TCTGATCCCTGCCCTGCTCCCTGCAGTGTGGGTGTCTGAGATCATGCTCCAGCAGACGCAGGTGTCTACAGTGATCGACTACTACAACCGCTGGATGCAGGTGACTGCTCCTTACGGAGTCCTGTTCCCACAGGCATCCCCTTTTGGAGACCTTGTCCACTGCCTGTGGCAGATCCCCAGCTGCAGAGCATGGCTCTGCTTGTCCCTGACTTGTCCCCTTCCCTTTGTACCACAGAAGTGGCCAACACTGCAGGCTCTGGCACAGGCGTCGCTGGAGGTGAGCGTTGCTGGGGCCGGGTGCTCTCCCTGCCCTCACAGCTCTTCATCTAACGCTGCGCTGTGTCTCTTGGAGCAGGAGGTGAACGAGCTGTGGGCAGGACTTGGCTACTACTCCCGAGGGAAGCGTCTGCAGGAGGCAGCAAGGAAGGTGCCCTGGTGCTGGGGTGGGGGAGGCATTTCCAAAGCTCTCTGAAGCCTGTGGGTTGGTGCCAGCTCCCGTCTGCCCTGGAAGACTGGGATCCTGTCTTCTCATGGCTACAATGGGTTGCATGCACGCACCCCGGCTGCTCCCCTGACCCCAACCCCTCTCTGCCAGGTGGTGTCTGAGCTGGCTGGCCAGATGCCCAGGACGGCTGAGGACCTGCAGAAGCTGCTGCCAGGAGTGGGCCGATATACGGCAGGAGCCATCGCATCCATCTCATACAGGCAGGTGAGAGCTGGGTGTCATGTCTCCCCTCTCTGCCACCCAGCCCCGATCCTGGCAGGGTCCTGCTGGTGGGTCTCACAAGCCGGGGTCTCCCTGGGACTGCGCTTGGCTCCGTCTCTCCCCTGCTTTGTGGTGCGTCTCACCCACCGCCCAGCTTGGCTGGCGGGTTGGCAGCATGTGTATCCCCCCTCCATCCCGGGAGCACCTCAGCTCCCTGCCTTGCTGGGAGCACGGGCACCTCCCAGCGTGGTAACCCCAGCTCCTGGTCCCAGGCTACCGGTGTCGTGGATGGGAACGTGATCCGGGTCCTGTGCCGCCTGCGGTGCATCGGTGCTGACTCCAGCAGCCCAGCTGTCATCGACCGGCTCTGGTAAGGGAAAGGGTCTGTCCCCGCTCCAAGCTGCAGCGATCATGGCTGTGCTTATTGTGGTCGAGGGCAGGATCCCTTGGGAGCCGTGAGGAGCAGAGCCTGCGAAGGAAGGGAGCCCTGGGGCGTGGGAGCTCTTGGGAAGCTGGTGCTGCTGGGAGTGGTGGAGAAAGGACCTGTGTTGCCTCTGCCTACCTGGGAGCATCCCCTCTTTCAGGCAGGAGGCAGGCAAAAGTCCCGGGGCCCTCTCCCTGCAGAGCCCAGTGTCACTCATTGCTGTTTCTCCCAGGGACATGGCCAATGCCCTGGTAGACAGGAGCCGCCCGGGGGATTTTAACCAAGCCCTGATGGAGCTGGGGGCAACCGTGTGTGTGCCCAGGGCCCCGCTGTGTGGGGAGTGCCCCGTGAAGCAGCACTGCCAAGCACGGCACAGGGTAAGTACAGCCCCAAAAATCTGTCTCCTCCCTGCCTAAGGGGGGGCTGCCAGCTGTGCCAGTGGGGTGGCAGAAGGTCACCCTAGGTCCTCTCTGAAGTACAAGCCATCCCTGGCCCAGACCAGTGCTGCAAGCTGTTCGTGGCTGGGCATCACATCCTGCATCCTCGCGGGGTGCTGGCCTTGAGGGGTCACCGTATGTGGGGACAACGTGGGCTGGTGGATGAGCCTGTCCCTGTTCCTGTCCCCCCTTGCAGGTGGAGAAGGAGCTGGCCTTTGCCTCTCAGAAGCTGTTTGGAAAACCCACCCCAGTGCCTGATGTTGAGGACTGTGGTAAGCACTTGGGGAGATCCCTGTCGTGGCTCTGGGCCTGGGCCCCGTGGCAACTGTTACATCGGTGTTTGCAGGTGTTGGGGACTGTCCCCTGTGCCCCCCAGCTGCGGAGCCGTGGGACAGCAGCCTGGGGGTCACCAACTTCCCCCGGAAAGCAGCAAAGAAACAGCCACGGGTGGCACGAACAGCTACATGTGTGCTGGAGCGGAGGGGCTGCCACAGGGCCCTGGAGTACCTCATCGTGCAGAGACCCAGCTCGGGTAATGGGGCTGGGCGGGAGGGCGGTGAAGGCACTGCGTGTCCCCTTCCCACCTGCGTGAGGGACAGAGCAGCCTGGGAGTGGGATGTGATGGGGAGTGTCCCCAGATGTCCCTCTTGCCGGCTCATGTCCCTGTTGTGCCCCCTCCCCAGGTCTCCTGGCCGGGCTCTGGGAGTTCCCCAGCCTCCCGCTGGGAAGTGGGATGTGATGTGGAGTGTCCCCAGATTGTCCCTCTTGCCGGCTCATGTCCCTGTTGTACCCCCTCCCCAGGTCTCCTGGCTGGGCTCTGGGAGTTCCCCAGCCTCCCGCTGGCTCAGGGCCTGCAGGAGGAGAAGCAGAGGGAGGTGCTGGCAGATCACCTCCGGGCCTGGACGGGGTGGCCGGTGGTGGCGGAAGACCTGCGGCTCATCGGAGAGGTGAGCCTGGAACTGGAGGGATGCAGCGTGAGCCCCCTGTGCTCGGCCGTGGGGAACATCGCACAGGGTGAAGAGGGTCCCTTCCCTGCTGTCACCCCTCCCAAGCCCTGCCCTGCTCCTCAGAGCCCTGGCAGACTCAGTGCACTTGTGAGGCAGCTGCGTGGCCATGTCTGTGTCTTCTCATCCCCTCGCAGGTCATCCACATCTTCTCTCACATCCACCAGACGTATGTGGTCTACTCCCTGCCCCTGGATGGGGACGTGACCCTGGACCCTGCCTTGTCCCCGTCCCGCTGGGTGACAGAGGAGGAGTTCCGTGCCTCAGCTGTGTCCACGGCCATGAAGAAGGTACCAGAGGGACTTGGGCCTTTCTTCCCTGCCATCTCTTTGGGGTCCCAGGTATCCCCCCCCAGTCTCTGCAGGCAGTCCTGGCTCCAGGACCCTGCTGCAGTTCAGCTCTGGCCTCTCTTGTGCTTCCTTCAGGTGCTGAAAGCGTGTGAGAAGCAGCGTGGGGTGGAGAGCAGCCCTGGCAAGGTGGGCATCACTGGAGGGTGTGCAGCCCTGGGAGCTGCTCCATGTTGTGGTGGGCCAGGCCCTGGTGTGCGGTGCTGGAGCCCCTCTGGCTTTGGGGTCAGGCCAAGGAGCATCCCCAGCCTGGGGCAGGGCTGCATCCAGGGGATTTGCCTGGCTGGCTTTGCCCCTGGATATCCCCAATACCAGAGCCCCTTGCCTCAAAGGCAGTCCCTGGAGGCTGTGGGGGGCCGTGGGGGTTTGGCTTAGCCCCAGTGTGTCTCTCCTGCAGGGCTCCAAGCGGAAGCGGGGGGCAAAGCCGCAGGGAGCAAGCAGCACCCGCCCTGGGACACAACTCTCCCTCCGCGCCTTCCTCCAGGCACCCACCTCCTCGTGATGGTACCTTTGACATCTGAGACCAGTAGAGACCTGCAGTGCAGTGAGTCCTGCCGGTGACACTGGGCTGGCGTCCCCTGCGCTGCTGCATGCCCGACCCACGGCCCTGTAGTGATCTCCTGCTCCTCCTTGCAGAGTCCGCTGCTTCCCCAGCTCTCCTGTGGGAGTTGTGCCTTGATGTGACCTGGAGCCAGGCTTGCCCTCCCCGCTCAGCTGGAGCCCTCCTGGGATCGTTGGGCCCCGTACAGCCACCGCTCCAGCACTGCAGACTCACGGCAGCGGGGGTTTCTCTCCGGCGGCAGGAAGGCTGCGGCCACGCTGCTCCCATTGCCCTGGCCCCAGTTCCCCACCTGCACCTCGTCCACCAGCCAGCGATTGTGGGTACTGCTGTACCCTTCCCGGCCTCCAATAGCCCTTTTTATACACTTGTTTTTACTGAACCTGAGCCATGGGCTTTTTAATAATAAATCTAAAGTGGGTGGGGGTTTTTTAAGTGACTTTCTGCCTCTGTTGTACTGTGCTAAGCTGGGGGTGTCTGGCAGCCTGTGGTTGAATGTGAGGATGACTGGCAGGATCTGTGCAGCACCTGTGAGCCCCTCTGCTGAGCATTAACTGCTGGTGACCCCAAATAAAGCACCCAGAGCACCTCTACTGCGAGGGCAGGGATCAGCCCCCCGGGGGCCGTGCTGGTCCTCCCTGGGGGCGAGCAGCTATCCCCTGGGGGCGAGCAGCTATCCCCTGGGCTTGTAAGGTTTTATCCCCCTTTTTTTACCTTTGCCATCAGGTTGTTCCCCAGTGTGGTGAGGCCGTGTCTTT